GGTCCCTAGATGGCATGTTTTTTCCTACTCTGGAACGTTCAGCCTGTAATGCACCTCTTCTGATGTCCTGACCACCTGTGATTGTCACTGTTCAAGCCTATTCTTGATGAGCTAGAACTAGGGGTGGGGTTGTGTCCCAGATTGTTGTGGAAATCTCAAATTGGGAACCGGGTGAGATCTCGTCCACAGAGTCTGGCATCATGGGGATTTCTCTGACTGGCTCTTCCCACACATGGGACAATGGCGTCTAGATGAGGCTATCCATGCCATTGTCATGGGCTCCTAGGATATGGGCATTTGTGTGAACCAGGTCCCAGTGTAATGGGTTGTGCCTTACTTCTTCTATTTTCATAGAAGTTTGAGGACTCCCTTGTGGGCCATTATACCTGGGAGCAGTGGCACTGGCCCTGTGCCAGTGGTGGAGACTCAGGTGTGGTCCTGGTGTTCAGGGCAGCTCTGGAGTCTCAGGGACATTGTCCCACACAATATGCAAGTTCTGGAATGACAGGAGTGGAGACTGTGGCTCCCACAGAGAGCCTCCAACACATTACTGGGAAGGAGCCAGAGCAGGGCTTCTGAGTAGGATCTCTGACCCAGAACAAGGACTGTGGGAGGTGGGGGGCCAATAGACTGTTCCACATGTTTGGGAACTCCAGATGCCAGGTCACATGGGCAGGGGTCATGTCTAGTGACCCATGGCCTACAGATTCCTCCCAGCCACTTCCCCAGGACCTGCTGAAGCTGTCACCCAAAAGTTCCCAGGTTGTAGCCTGTAGTGCCCCAAGGCACACCCCTGCCAATATCCTGCTTCTCCTGAGGGGAGGAGCAAAGGAAGGTAGGACGGAAGGAAGAAATAAAGAAAGGAAAAGAGTCACAGGGGAATCTCCACTTAATCCACTCCCTCCAAGCCCAGTGAAGGCATTGTGCAGTCTACTGCTTCAAGGTCGAGTCCCGTGCCTCCCTGAGGCCTTGCACCTGAGAGCAAAGAATGGCATCAGCTGCAGAAACCCAGAATCAGGTGCTACATCTCAAGCCATGAGGGGGCACAAGGTGTGAGCCCCTGCCTCGGAGAGGGTCTTGCTTTAGAAGCTATAGGCCTGCACAATGTGAATGTTCTAAAGCAGCAGTTCTCAACCTATGGGTCACGACTCCTTTGTAACAATGAAAATACATCCTGCACATCTGATTTTTACATTACAATTCATAACAGTAGCAAAAGTACAGTTATGAAGCAGCAATGAAAATAATGTTATGATTGGGGGTCACCACAATATGAGGAACTGTATTAAAGGGTTGGGGCATTAGGAAGTTTGAGAACCACTGCTCTGAACCCTGGCAGGAAGAGATGCAATAGGAAAGAAGGTCATTTCCGGCTTTGAGGATGAGAACAGTCTCTTGGAACAGTTGGCAATGAGCTGGATCCTAAAAGTCTGTAGATCTGACAAGCAAAAATGTACACTAGGACCTTCTGCACACATAAAAAAGGATGGCCTGAAATATGTTCCACAGATCATCAGTAAGTTGTGGGTAATGAGGCTGACGCTTTCACTGATTGATAATACACATCCTGAAGGCAGAGGAAAGGACTTGAATTTGAGTTGACAGTGGGATATCCAGGTAGAAATATCTGAAAAGCAGTCAGAAATATCGAGCCCACAAAATAAATACAGGAGCCATCACGCTATTAATCTGTTTTCTCTTTCAGGTGGGAGTCCGATCAAACCGACGAAGAACAAAAAGAAAGGTGATTATCAGGTGACATTCGGCCGATGTCTTATCTTTCATATTCTCTTGTTTTGTTTTGTTTCAAAATATTATGGGAATACAAATGTTTGCACTTTTGTAATGCTTGACTCAGGGGCTGCAAGTGTGTCCATCACCCAAATAGTGTACATTGTACCCACTAGGTAGGTTTTTAACCCTTCCCTCCTTCCACAATCCCCTGCTTAATTTCTGGCGACTTTTTACATCCTTCTGTGTGTACTTGTATGCACATCGGTTATTTCCAATTTATTACAGAGTACATGTGGGGTTTGTTTTACCATCATTGAGATACTTTGCTTAGGAGAATGGTCTCTAGTCTACAGCCATATCACCCTGAATGCTCCCAATCTCATCTGTTCTTGGAAGCTAAGCAGGGTTGGGACTGGTTAGTACTTGGATGGGAGACCTCCTGGGAATAGTGGGTGCTGTAGGCCTTTTTTTAAAGAAAAAAAGAGGAAAATGGTCTCCAATTCCTTCCAAATTGCTGCAAATGGCATTGATTCATCTTTTCTTATGCCTGAGTAGTACATCATGGTACACATATACCCTTTCTCTTAATGCAATCATGAATTAATTGATGGGCACTTGGGTTGGTTCCAGATCTTTGCAATTATGAATTGTGTTGGAATAAGCATTCCAGTAGGGGTGTCCTTTTGATAAAATGAATTCTTTGCCTTTGGGTAGATATTCAGTACAGGGATCGCTGGATTGAGTGGTAAGTCTACTTTAAGTTTTTTGAGAGGTCTCCACACTGTTATACTACTTTGCAGTCCCACCAACACTGTGTAAATGTTCCTTTCTCTCTGCATACACACCAGCATCTATTGCTTGGGGAGTTTTCAATAAATGCCATTCTAATAGGAATAGAGTGACATCCCATTGTGGGTTTCATGTGCAGTTCCCTGATGATTAGTGACATTGAGGTTTTTCACCTATGTTCCTTGGCCATTCGTCTATCTTCTTTGGAAATCATTCTGTTCATTGTTTTGCCCACTTTTCATTGAGACTATGGGTTTTGCATGTGGATTTGTTCAAGTTCATTGCAGGTTCTGAATATTAGCCCTTTATTGGGTGTATAGCTTGTGAATATTTTCTTCCATTCTGTAGGTTGTCTATTTTCTCAGTTCATTAT